GACAGGTGCAGGGGGCCCACGGGGAAGGGAGGGGCGGTGGACAGGTGCAGGGGGCCCACGGGGAAGGGAGGGGCGGTGGACAGGTGCAGTCGGCCCCCGGGGAAGGGAGGGGCTCTCAGGCTTCTCTGAGCAGCAGCCCCCTTACACTCAGCGAGGGAAGCTGTGCCCCCCATCCCCAAGGGGCCACGCTGCAGGGGGGTGGGGGGGACACGCACAACAGAGATGGAGGCGGAGGAAACACGGTGACAGAGGACGGGAGATGGGGCCCCCTGGGGGGCCCAGGCCCTGTGCTGGGGCCCAGGAGCACTGCTTGAGAGGGCCTGGTGAGAGTCAGGGGGTGAGGAAGCTACCGAGGCCCCCCATGGCAGGGCTGCTGGCCTGAGGGCCCATGGAGGAGCAGGAACCAGCAGTCTAGGCTCACCAGGGAGGGAGAAGGTGCACGGCAGCTCAGCCCGGTGGTTGCTCCAGGCCAGAGCAGAGGCGCAGACCCTTTGGGGATCAGGGACCTCTGCAAGAAGCTGGGGCGATCCATGGACCCTCTCCCCAGGAAAATGCACATCTGCACACACATGCATGATTTGGGGGACAATTTCAGGAGAGTCCTGGGCCCTCTGGAATCCATGAACTCCCTAGAGGTCCCAGGCGGATTTGCTTTGGGAGGGGGATGCCCAGGGGTCCTGATACCCCTGGTCTTTTGCCAAAAATCACCCTGCCTGAGCCAGTAGGGTTGGAGAAGAGGAAAAGAGGAATAGCAGAAGCGTTTCCAAGACCAGGCCGTGGGCCCAATGGCCGTGAGAAGGAGCTGGGGGGTTCTCCACACAAACAGGAGCCACCAGCCAGCCTCCCCGCTCACTGTGGGAACTGACCCTCTCAGGCCTCCCTCCTGCAGTGGGGAGGGGTGAGGATGAGGCTTAGCCTCCGCGACTTACTCCCTAATGTGTTAGGGAATGTTTAGCTCCGGAAGGGAGGTCCTGTTCTTACCAGCTACTTCAACACCATAACGCTGTATTTACAGAGACAAAGGCTTTTGAGAAGGCAGGAGTCAAAGTCTGAATGAGGATGGGGCTGCTCCAGGGTGCATGGTGGTTGCCTGCCCACCCGGGATCATCACCATGGGCCCGGGCAGAGCAGACAGGGCACCAGCTGGTCTTTAGGCCCAAGAAAAGAGGTCTTGGCCTGACACATGGCCAAACAGAAGTGGGATCTGTTTAATAAACTGGGTCCCAAGGCTGCCCATGAAGACCCGGTTGCAGCCTCTTGCTAGGAACGTGGAGGCCAGAGTGCCGGGCGCGATGGGCGGGGACTGACACAGCATGGGAAGAACTATGGGTTGTCCGGAAGAGACTAATTCTTTTGGTGCTTTGTTGCTTTTCCATCCATGTCCTTCTGCAAATTACGCATCCTTTGCTCCAGATCCTATCCTTCCCACGCTCAACCCAGCACCTGCCTGGGACAAGCCACAGAGCTTCTCACCTCCTTCTTGTTCTCCACCTGCCTTCAGGCTGCACCCCCTCGCCCGGCCCTCAGCCTCCCCATCCATGCTGCCCACGTTCTCCTCTCATGCTGGTCCCACAGCTAGGCCCTGTGACCCAGCAGGGGCCCTGCGTGGGCTTCTGTCCTTGCTCTCCCCAGCCAATGGGGGACAGCTCCTCCAAACACTGTCCGGGACCCTGGGAGGGTGAAGGGAAGGGGACAAAGGGCCGGGAGTGGGCTGCCCAGTCTCTGCCCAGCAGCAGCATCCTGACCGTCTCCTCTTCTGGGGCAAGGCCGGGCTGGCAGCCGGAGCATCAGGGCCTGCCCCCCTGTGCCCGCCCCGAACAAGCTTTGGGGAAACTGTGTGTCGTGGCAGGGGGGTTTGCTGATGATTCCGGCGGAAATGTGAGGAGATGGGGACGGCCTGCTTTACACTCCCCCACCCTAACCCGCTTCCAGTCCCAAAGTCTCATGCAAAAGGTATGGGAGGCCCCAGGCTACCGTCACGTGTGCGGTGTCAGCTGCCACTGCTGGGCCGGGGCGTCGGCCTGGCACTTGCTGGTCACCAGCTGGGCGGGCTTGGCCTCCAGGCAGAGGCCGCTGACCGAGTGCTGGATGAAAGAGGCTTTTCTCCTCCATCTCTGGGGGGGAGGACGGGGAAGAAAACACAACGATTAACAATCATAATAATTCGCATCTATATAAGGGCCTGAATATCCCTCGGGTACCCCACCCCCTCACTTAGAGCAGACTATGTCCCTTACATAAGAGCTCCCCGACCCCACACGCAGTCTTAAACCCCTTCCCTGCTGGGGCACTCCTGCTTCCACAGTCCAGCAGAAGGCGAGATCAGAGGCCCGTGGGCTGAATGAATCTGACCTGGGGCTGTATTTTGTTTGGCCTGCACAGTGTCTGTTTAAAATTTGCCTTCGTTGTCACATGAAAATCTGCGTTTCTAGCTTCCCTTTAGACATGGCCAGTTTCTTATACGGCCCGGGGCAGTTGGGGCTGAGCTGCTGCTCCCTACTAGAGGTGGGCTCTTGTCCTGCCCAGGACAGCACACCCCACCCCTGCAGCACACCCCATCCCTCCCTGCTGGCACGTTGAGTCTGCGGGTCCTGGCTTAGTGCATGTTTTGCTTCTTCAAAGAAGATTTCCTCTCCCCACAGCTCTGAGCTTCCGGCCTGGCCTGTAACCAGGCAGCAGGTGACCAAGGGCCGTAAGGGGGATCCAGTCACCATGTCTGCAGCGATGAGGAGTAAGGCCAGTGGGATGGTGTGAGGCCTGGGGTCCCCGTCACAGTCCCCTCCTGAGCCTCCCCTTCCCCAGGCTTGAGGAAGGGGAAAAGAGGTGTTCCCGTGGAACATTTGGAGATGCCTGGGTGGAGGAAGGGGGTGTCCTTTGGAACACTGAGGAGAAGGGCTGAGAGGCTGGCCCAGGCTTCAAGGCTCAGGGAAGAATAGTGAGAGAGGCCTGTCTGTCCATCTCTCCTCTTCCTGTATCCCCCTTGTTCTTGTTCTCCACAGGAAGTGGGGAGTGCTTGACCATGCATGGAGGCGCCCCCTCGCCCCCGCCATGGCTCTGAGGGGCTGGGGCCGTGGGCTTGCCAGAATGCCTGCAGAAGGGCTGAGCCGCACCCAACTGCAGGGCCAGGCCTAGGGCTGCAGGGGTTGGGGTGGGTAGAGAAGTGAAAGGACTTGGGGGGAAGGTGGGGGTTGTGGACTCCCCTTGGGAATGTGAGCCTGTAGGGTGCCCATGCGGCCCCAGCAGAGAGGGGTCCCTGGCCTAAAAGTTGGGGCGGTGGGTAGGACAGGGCCTTGGTCCCTCTGGAACTCATAGCATTCTGTTGCTTTGTGCTCTTCTAGTCCCTGACCTCCCAGGAGGGGCTGGCCACTGGGCATCGCTGGACCCCGTCCTCCTTTCTGCCTGTGGCCAACAGGAGCCGTACCTTCCCGAGAACAGGCAGGGGCCCAGCGCAGTGGTATTTATGAAGGGTGAGTGCACGGATGAGTGAACGGATCACCCGATCTCACTGGAGGTGCTCCCAGAACCACAGGATTCTCACTTCCTACCCATGCCATCGAGAACTCTCCTGGCCACTCAGGCCTGGGCCTGGACAGAGAATCAGTGCCCCTCACGGCACTCTCCTATCTCCTCAGCCTCCGTTCCTGCAGGCGCCTTGCAAGGCAGGCAAGGAGGAGACCGAGGCTCAGAGAGGTGAGGGGTGGTGGGGCTGGGGTCTGCTGACTGCATCCCACTGGCTCCAGGACACAGAGCCTCTCAGATCCATGACACCCAGTGGCCGTGGAAGCCAAAGGGGGACCAAGAAGGAAGGCCTAGCTTTGAGAAGGCACCAGCAATGGGAGACCCGCTCATCCTATCCTCTGGGAGGAGAGGGCCCGGGGGCCAGGGTGCCACTGGGGGCCTGACAGGACTTGCAGGAGCAGATTAGATAGAGCTCGAGAGAATTAAGTGAGTGGTGGCCCCCCCAGGAGCTACTTCCTGGGGTGGCAAGGATTGATGGGAGTGGGCTCAAAGCCTGACCCTCGGAGAGGTCTGCTGCCCCCAGTGAAGAAGAGCCTGAGGACATCCCTCACTGCAGGGCAGGGGCGGAGGTAGCAGGACAAACTTCCTCTGCCAATCAGAAACACCTCAGAAGTGTCCAGCAGGCCCAGCAAGCAGATCCTGGCACACAATTCACACATGCGCGCACACACACACACACACGCATGCATGCATGCACTCAGAGGCTGGAGGGCGGGGATCTGGCTGCTTTTCCAGAATGGCATAGCCACTTGCCAGTCATCCCTAAAGAAAGAGCGGACCCAGGCAAACAGGAAAAGGGTGGGAGGAAAGGCCAGGCGCTCTCCTCGACCCCGCACTGTCCCGCCGGCCGGCCAGGGTCAGGCACGGGGACGGCTACCGGGGCGTGTGGGCAGGGGAAGGGCTGGAGGAAACCTCTGGCCTTTGTGTTCCAACCCTCGGGCAGAGCGGCTCCCCCCAGCCAGGAAGGGAGCTGAGCTGACTCTGCCACTGGCTGATGCAGACCCTGAGAGCAAGTGATGTCATCTCTCGGAACATCGGATTCTTCCTCGACCGGTGGGCCTGACCTGTCTCCCAGGATTCATGGAGACAGGGCGGCTGAGTGTTTGACAAATGGAAAAGGTATTGCTCGTGGGAGGCTGTCATGCCAGCTTGGAAATCGGTGTATCTGGGTCTCACTTTCCCGGCAGCCACAAACAAGAAATACTTACCGAACATCTACTATGTTCTGGGTTAAGACCATGGGCTTAGGGGTCACACTGACCTGGGTTTGAATCTCGGCTCTACCCCTTCCCAGCTGTGTTTCATCTGACACCTGTTTCTTAAATTCAACAAGCCTCGGTTGACTCACCTGTAAGATGGGGAGGGGACGAGGGCCCAAACCCCTGGGTTGCACGAGGATAAGATGAGATGGTCTATGTAAAACTCCTATCACCGGCTCTTGGTAAAAGCCAGCTCGAATTTGGCTGCAGTGGTTGTCAGGGGCTAAGGACACAAGACAGACGGCCTCTGCCCTCGTGTCACCCACAGGCTGGCAGGATGGACATGTAACCATATTTACTTGAAGAAGTGCTTCCTCATGAGCACAACAGACTTGACCTCGCCGCTGACTTGGAGGGACCCTCACTCTGGAGGGCGTATTTGAGTCCATCTGATTCAACCCAGGGCTCCCATGCCAGGAGCTGCCACCCAGCCTGCGCGTCCCCGGGGGGTGAGGAGACTCACCTGCCTGCCTTCTCTCGGGTTGCACCCCTGCAGTAGGACCAGGGAACCTGGGGTGATGGACGTGGAGGCGGCAGTCAGGCACTTCCCCTGCTGCTGGATGAGATGGTCGCTGAACAGCCACGCCTAGAAGACAGGCACGTGAAGCGCGAGTCCAAGTGTGCAGTGAGGGATGGGGAAGGGGGTAGACAGGTTAGAAAACAAATACCATGTATGTTGGCAGAATTTTCTACAAATAGTAAGAGTGAGTATATGGGTATTCACTGTACTGTTCTTTCAACTTTTCTGTATGTTTGAAAGTTTTCGTAATAAAAGGATGGGGGCAGCATCGCTGGAGAGGGCTGGAGGGCAACCGACGATGTACCAAGGGATGCCAAGGGCGGGGGGGCCAGGGAGAGACAGGATGCAGGACCAGGGCAGCTAGGGGATCTCCACGACCTGCTCAGTTTGACAGGACTGCAGCGACCCTCATATGTGGCACACGCACATACACACAGGAGTCTTGGATGCCCTGCTGTCCATGATACACGCTGACCACAGCTGCATCCCAGGAGGGAACCGGGTGCCGTCTGGGTGACACTTCTCCCTCGGCAAGGAGAAAGTGGGTGGTGCCCAGAGGGCAACTGTGGCACGGTTGGGAAAAGGGACGGGAATGTGGCAGAAGCAGACCCAAGGAGCAGTGTGAGGGGACAGTGTACGTGGTTCCTGGGAGAGTGGGTTTGTGGAGGGTGTAAGCAGAGAGAAAGTGAGAATGAGCCAAGGGAAGCCCCCTCCCCCACTCCTGGACAATGACCCAAGGCTCCTTTCCCCCTCCTGATTCTGACCTCGAGGCCCTAAGCAGCTTACCTGGGGTGCTGGGGGGTTCTTGGCAGACCCTCTGCAGATCCCCATTCCAAGCAGGAAGTTCCCAGCTGAGTCCTGGCCTTGGGATTCTAAGCAATTAACCCCTTGCTTAATGATGCCAGGGAGCACTTCCTTCACGGGGACTCTGAGAGAAAATGGAGTGGTTCAGGCTTGTCCTCTGCCCTCTCTAGGCTTACTCACCCCTCAGCCAGAAGGCAGTGCTCGGTCAGCTCCCCGGGCACCATGTTTTTGGTCTCAGTGTCATGGGAAGGGGCCCTGGGGAGCAGCCCTAGCCAGCAGGGGCAGGAGGGCAGGGGACGGGGGAAGGAGCAGGATGCCTCTGGGAGCCCTAAGGGCAGCCCTGGAGGCCAAGCCTGAGAGGACCCTGGGAAAAGAGCTCAGACCAGAAAGCCAAGGCTCCCCAGTCTAGAGAGAAGAAAACCTGGGGAGAGACTGGGGTCTAAATATGGACTCAGTAGGACTTCTCAAAATGACAGGGAAAAGGTCACTTTGGAGAGGCAAATTTCAAACCCACAACTAGGAAAATGTGTTCAATCTCACTAATGATTAAAGAAATACATATTAGAGAGTTACCACTGTTTATATATGGGCATAACATATAATATGTAATACATATGTATTATTTCTATATATTTACTTATATAAAATATATCATATGTATCATATTATATCAACACCAATCAATATCAATCCCCAGTGTTGGCAATAGCTATGGGATCAGATCTTCTCATACTCTATGGGTGGGAGCATAAACTGGCCCAACCGTTCTGGAGGGCAATGTGGCATTATGTATCCAAAGCTTTAAAAATGTGCACACATAGATAAAAGGGGTTAAGAGGTACAAACTTCCGGTTATAAAATAAGTCACAGAGATGAAAAGTCCATCATAGGGAATATAGTCAATAATACTGTAATAGCGTCATATGGTGACAGGTGGTGACTACACTTATGGGGAGCATTGAATGATGTAGAGGATTGTTGAATCACTATGTTGTACACCTGAAATGAATACATTGAATGTCAGTTGTATTTCAATAATAAAAAGCACACAAAAAATAATGTGCATACGTTTGACCTAACAATCTCAATCCTACTTCTGGAAATTTGTTATCCTGTGGCAGTAATTTTGGATGTTTGCAGAGTGATTGGTTGCACTGAAAAAATAGATATCCAACAATATGGGACGGGCTAAATAAATACTGATTCATCTGTAGGATGGAAAGCCCCATAGCCATTAAAAATGACTCCAAACGAGTATCTGATAGCATGGAAAAATGTTTATAACATACTGTTAAATAAAACAGGCATTTCAAAATATTATTATTTAAAATATGCTTAAACACACATCTCTCTCTCTCTCTCTCTCTCACACACACACACACACACACACACACACACACACACACACACACGACACATTGTCTTATTTTGTGGATAATAAACCTAAGGAGGCTGCTGGCCCCAGCTGATGCAGGCTTGTATTCCTGGGTTTAGAAGGTCATACACCCTCTTGGGTTATGGCCCCATGGGGTGATGGGGTTCAGAGTCTGGTCATGTGCCTAATCTTTTTTTTTTTTTTAAGATTTTATTTATTTATTTGACAGAGAGAGACACAGTGAGAGAGGGAA